TTTTTTTTGGTCCTATTTGAATTTTTTTTCTGAAACTCTTGGCTGCCTGGATGTCGCGGGGCACCATTTTGAAACTGTATCGCAACAATTGAGACTGTTGGACAAAAAATGGGAACAAAACATTATCGAATCTAATAAATTTGGAACAGCTTTTCTCAATGGCTACCACTGTATCTCAAACAGACAGCTTGCTTTGGGGAATATATCAAAATCTGATGACTGGAGGACTTCATGGACAGATTGCAAAACTGCTCAACTGAAGCCCCAGCTAGGGTTAGGGTTAGCATTCAAACACTCCTTAGACAATTTTAACTTTCAGCACCGGATTTTGGAGCTCAAGACAGCTGTAGGACGAGTGCTTTTTTGGTCCTTTTTGAATTTTTTTTGCGGGAAACTCTTCACTGACTGGATGGAGCAATGCACCGTTCCAAAATTGCATTGCAAAACTGAGTCTGTTGGATCAAAAAGTGGAACAAAACATTATCGAATCTAATAAATGTGCAACAGCTTTTCTCAATGGCTTCGGTTGTTCCTCACTCATACAGTTTTCTATGAGTAAGACGTCAAATCCGTTGACTCTCAGTTCCTTCAGTCTGTCAGAGCCTACTAGTCTCATCTATCATTTATATCTCATTTATATCTCTGCAAGATATAAACTCGGAATTCTGAGAGACAAAGTCGCAATTGCGAGATACCATAGCACGTTTTTTTATTTACTCCCTGGAGCAGATCATCCTGCTGAATACATGAAATGCCAAAGCAGGACAGTAAACTCTTGGTTCAGTCACTCGTGTTTTGGGTTTGTTTATATATATTAAACACAGCTTAAACACAACACCAGGAATGTGTTTAACTTCACTTTTTACTTGAACAGTTATTAAGCAGCTCAGCCATCTACTAACTCGCCTGCTCTAGGGAGTGTCTCACAATTACCATACTAACCAGCATACAAGGGAGTGTGTTAAAACTACCTCTCATGACACAGTCCCTCTGTGGACAGAGATTCTTCAACATGAAATGTCCAAACAGCAGGGCAGAAGACAAGACTGACACGGAGCCCAAGTTTCTGTTAATGGAGAAAAAAAAAACGCCGCTGCCAACAAACAAATGTAAAATCCTAGTCTCAAAAAATAAACACAAATAAGAACATAAAATACAAAATAATGAATATGCTAACACAAATTAAACCCGTCTCCCAGCATTACCAGTGGGACAGAGAGCTGGGAGAGAGTCAGCCTGTGTTCATGAGACAGTGATGGGTTTAATCTCCACACTGACATCAGCCAGCAGCTCAAGATCTTTATACTCATCCCCAGTCCAGAAGACAGGATAGATCTTCTCCCCCTGAGTGAAGACCATGTCAGTGAAAGTGTAGAGATGAGCTCTGGACTCCACTGTGTAAAAGGAGACCTTCCGCTCCTCAATATCCACACACACCCCCAGCTTCCTG